GGATAGGCGGAAGAAAATGGATGGATGGATGGATGGATGGATGGATGGATGGATGGATGGATGGATGGATGGATGGATGGATGGATGGATGGATGGATGTTCCTGTGGATGTGTCACACTCAGATTCTGTCATGTTCTACTGTGTGACGTTAGAAGCATCTCTGATCAGTTCGAGAGCTCAGAAAGCTGCTGTTTTAACTTATAAATATATCTCTGGCTGTTGTGTAAAACTTCAAAGTAAAAGCTGAGGTAAAGACTAAGAGGTTGTTTCAAGTCAGGCGTCTACAGGAGTCACACTGGCATGCAATTACGAGAAATGTCTGAACTAATTGCACTGCTCTTTGGTTCAAGGTAAAGTCAAATGTGAATGAATGATAAGAAAAGAGGGCTTTGGTTGCAGGAATAAGTTTAATAGTAAATATCTCATGAACCACTGGGCTGATTTCAGTAAAACTCTCAGAACATAACCCAATTCAAAAAGACTGTTACAGCGATCAACACTAACCAAGACAAAAATGCCACAACTCAGACAATTTAACAGGTATTTAGTTAAAACTTGGTGTGGCAGCAGCTGGGACAAAAACAACTTTCTCAACAGCATAATATTAATAATGGGGATGCACGAGTAAAATCCATTTCAGAGAACTCTAAATTAAATTAGCACTGAAATGCCGGAGCGATCTGTCAAAAGAGTTCAATTTTTCATCATTTTCCTGGTAAATTAGCAAGAAAAATTATATTTCGCTTAACATTTCCATGTCAGATCTTAATCAAAGAACACATGATCTCTGGAAAGCAAGAACGCAACAGAATAAATTCTACTTTAGACACAAAAACAAACGCAAATGAAGATTTATTGCATTTACTTGACCGCCCGGCTCAAATCAAATTGGCAATCTGCTGTTCATAAACCCGCTGACGCGCTCCTGACAAATAGCAGCGCCGTGTGCCAGCTCGATCCGTTCAAAATGCTCACAAATATTTGCTCACGTTGTCACACGTGTCTCTGCTGTCAGAGAGAATATTTTAAATCAGATCATTGCATGAAAGGTTGACAGAAAGGAGAACGTCTCGCTGCGTCTAACACTTGTTGACATGTTTGGTGGGTAGCTGTTGAACGCCCACTGTAAGTGGTTACAGTTAAAGCTGCACAGATAGAGTCATAAATCTCCTTGGTGACACCACGCGCTGCCCTGTTTACAGTTCTGGAATGATTCAAGTGTTGGCTCGCGACTGAACGAGCAGGAGTTTGTGCTGGAGAATGCATTAACATTAGCCGGGCCCTTCTTTTGGTCTCACTGCAGTTTAAACAGCCCCCGGTTCTGTGAGAAGCAAGGTCATAATCACCGTCTCAGAAGTGAGGGAGACAAATTTTTCAGAGGTCTGTTGAGTTTTTTTTATCATCTTCTTGCATTCAATCAAACCTCTACTTAGTAGTTGAAAACACACAACACACACATGCACCAGGAGACAGACTTTAGTTCTTTTACACAAGTGCTCCTATTATACTTGTCTTTGCCGTTACTCATGGCCATCAGAAGCACTGTAGTGTGTGAAGGGCACACTGGTGGGGGGTCGAGGGGTTCTCCCCCAGGAAATTTTGATGAAAGTTGATGACATTTCCCGCATTCTGGAGTATTTTAACAAGTTGATAAAAATATTTTTACCTACATAAAAAAAACACTTGATTACATAACTATTTTAGAGACAGATTCATCAACTCGTGAATCTCCCTGGTTTTAAACACTGCAAAAAATGTCCACCTAACCAAATTTTAAAATCTTATATCCAGCCAAAATTTCTTTTTGATCTTGTTTTGAGACTGATTTACTAAGCAAGAACTGATTGTGTAAGAATAATCATCTTGTTTTCAGAATGTGTAAGATTATTTGTCTTGTTAGTCTAAAAATTTGACTCAAATTAAGTCAAAAATTTCTGCCAATGGAGTAAGAAAATTTTACTTGGTAAGATTCTTGAAATAAGCAAAAAAAAATTGAGTCAAATCAAGTATTTCAAGAATCTTACCAAGTAAAATTTTCTTACTCCATTGGCAGAAATTTTTGACTTAATTTGAGTCAAATTTTCAGGCTAACAAGACAAATAATCTTACACATTCTGAAAACAAGATAATTATTCTTACACAATCAGTTCTTGTTTAGTAAATCAGTCTCAAAACAAGATCAAAAAGACCTTTTGGCTGATATAAGATTTTAAAACTTGGTAAGATGGACAGTTTTGCAGTGAACTCACTGCTGGTTGAGATCAGGAAATTAATGTAGTAGATTTTCAAACAAGTTTAGAGTTCCACTTTACTTAATTTCTA